ATGAGATTCCTTCACGTTTTCAGTTTGAACTTCAAAGAATACAGGCCCACTTTACTCAGCCTGTCATCATAGGCCAGCCCCCTCATCCCAGGGGCCAGTCTACTGAACCATTCTTCCACATCCAGTGCAAAGATATCTTTCTTTGAATGTAGAAACCAAATATGGTATGTTAGTAGTATGTCAGATGTGTTATCACAAAAGCTCAGTACAGTTGTAGCAAGAATTCTTGCATCCTTACAATTATCACAGTATCGGGAGGTGGGGGGAGGGTGTTGTCGGCTCTAAAGGAAGCCATTCAGCCAATTGTGGCTTGCACCAGCTCTTCAAATTATCATAATTACCTACATCCAATTTCCTGGTTTCCCTCATGCTATTTTTTCCTTGCATGCTATTTTTATCCAAATAAACACTTACTGTCACCTTGAATGCCTCAATTGAACATGTTTAAACAGGACTCAACATTAACTCTGTTTTCCCTCCCCAGATGCTGCCAGACCTGTTGAGTTTTCCAGCAATTTCTGTTTATGCTTCCACTATACCCCTGCACCACCTCTGCCCAGCTGAGTCCATAGAAACATAGAAGATAGGAGCAGGAGGAGGCCATTTGGTCCTTCGAGCCTGCTCTGCCATTCTTCACGATCATGGCTGATCATCTAACTCCAAAGCCTAATCCTGCTTTTTCCCCATAACCTTTGATCCCATTTGCCCCAGTGCTTTATCTAGTCACCTCTTGAATGCATTCATTGTTTTGAAATCTTCTACTTCCTGTGGTAATGAATTCCACAGGCTAACCACTCTTTTTGGATGAAGAAATGTCTCCTCATCTCCGTCCTAAATGGTCTACCCTGAATCCTTGTACTGTGACCCTGGTTCTGGACACACCTATCATTTGGGAACATTCTCCATGCATCAACCATGTCTAGTCCTGTTAGAATTTCATAAATCTCTGAGATGCCCCCTCATTTGTCTGAACGCCAGCGAAAACAATCCCAACCTAGTCAACCTCTCCTTGTATGTCAGACTTGCCATCCTGAAACGGGCCCTTAACTTCCCTTGCTTTCTTCAGATCAGAGGTTTGGCCATTGGTACCTTCTTGGTTCTGCCTAACTCTTTGTAGGGGAGCTGAAACATTCCTTGTTCCAATCCCACTTGGGTCCCTTGCACAACTCTTTCCCCAGTACGTCGATGATCTAATTGGTGCTGCTTCCTCCTCTCATTTAGAATTTGGAACGATTTATCAATTTCGCTTCCAGTGTTCATCCTGCTCTTGCCTTCACCTAGTCTGTCTCTGACTTCTCCATGGATGTCTCAGAAATGGATAGGCCGCTCACCAATATCCACTCCAAACCCACCAGTCCCACAGTTACCTGGACTATACATCCTTGCACCCTGCTTCCTGCCACTCTGAGACACTCTGCCATTCTCCCAGTTTCTCTGTTTCTGTTAATCTCATCTTCCACAGGGGTGGTTAGAATGTCCACCTCTTCCCTCAACTGAGAATTCTCCACCACCATGGTTGATCGGGCCCTTGGCTGTGCTTGGCCCATTTCCTGCACTTGTGCCCCTTCCCTTCCATCATCTCCCACAACACCAAGAAGGTCCACTCGTCCTCGCTTTCCACCCCACTAGCATCTGCATCTAAAGGATCATAAGCCACCATCAGACACACACTCCTATTCCATCCCTGGTTAGCAATTTACAGAGACTGTTTCCTCCAGGACATCCTGGTCCACTCCCCATCCACTCCCAACACCTCCACACACTCCCACTGCACCTTCACATTTAATCGTAGTAGGTGCAACACTTGCCCACTTACCTCCTCCCTCCTTGTCATCCAAGGCTTCAGACATACCTTCCAGATGCAGCACTGATTTACCGGCACTTAACTCAATCTAGTCTACTGTATTTGTTCCTCTACATTAAGACAAAATGCATGCTAGCTGACTGCTTTGTGGAGCACCAATGTTCTGTCCATAAAAATGAGCCTGAGCTTTTAGTTGCGTGCCACTTCAACACACCACCTTGTTCCCTGGGCGACATTCCTGTCTTGGGCCTGCTGCAGTGCTCCAGTGAGGCTTGGTGCAGGCTGGAAGAACAGCATCTCATTATCCACTTGGGGACCCTAATGAGTTCAAGAATTTGAGCCTGAACATTCCCTTAATCCATCCCCAAACCCCAGGGCCTTTGATAACAAGGGCTGCTTTCAGCGCAACCAACCTGCTTTCAGCGCAACCAACCCACTTTCACCTACTTATGGTCCCCATTATTAGCTTTTTTTCCCTCCTTGGCTTACTATCAACCATCACTCTACCTGCCTGACTTACTATCTGTTTCTTTGCGGTGTATCTCCCCCTAACCGCTCATTCCGTACTTCCCCTGTTCCCTGTCATCGGCATAGATATCACCTTTTCCTACCTCCTATCAGTTCTGATGAAGGGTCACTGGACTCAAAATGTCAAAGCTGCTTTCTCTGCACAGATGCTGCTACCCTTGTTTTTCCAGCAATTTTTGATTTGTATGGTATCATGTAGCCTGGATACAGGCCCTTCAGCCCATCATGTCTATACTGATCAACAAACATCAAACTACGCAAATACCACTTGGTCTATAGTCTACTATGTCCTGGCATTTTAGGTACCTATCCAGTTGCTGCTTAAATGTTGAGAGTATCTGCTTCCACTGCCATGTCAAGCAGCATGTTCCACATTTCTACCACCCTCTGGGTGGGGGGAAGAAAATCTTTCAGATCTCCTCTGAACCACTTGCTTGTCACATTAAACTTATGCCCTCTGGTCTTAGATGTCTGCCATGGGGAAGAGATTCTCACAATCTACTATCTGTACCTTTTCTAATTTTGTACTTCTCAATCAGATTGCCCTCTTTGCTCCAAGGAAAACAAACCCAGTTTATTCAGTCTCTCCTCATAACTGAGACTTCCTATCCCAGGTAACATCCAAGTGAATCGCCTCTATACCTTCACCAGTGCAGGCATGTCTGTCCGATAGTGTGGTGACCAGGACTGCATGTAGTATTCCAACTCTGGCACAACAGTGTTGTATAAAGTTGTGACAGGATTTCCTTGCTCCTCTATTCTATGCCCTGGCTAATGACAGTAAGCATCCAGTATGTCACCTCCTGTCAACTTATGCTGACACCTTCAGGGATCTATAACTTCTGCACCAAGGTACCTTTGCTTCTCAGGACCTCCTCGGGACCTATGTTTCTTTGTATATATCCAATCCCTTATTAGACCTCCCAAATTCATCACTTTGCACTTATTGGAATTAAATTCTATGTGCCGTTGCTCTGCCCAATTTACCAGCTGACAAGTATTAGACTGTATCCTGAGACCATTCTCTCAATTCATAGAGATGTATAGCATGAAAACAGATCCTTCAGTCCAACTCATCCATGCCGACCAGATATCCTAAATTAATCTAATCCCATTTGGCCCATATCTGTCTCAACCCTTCCTATTCATATTCCCATCCAGATGCCTTTTTAAATGTTGTAATTGTACCACACTCCTCCACTTCCTTTGTCAGTTCATTCCCTACACTCAAGCCTCTGAAAAATTTGCCCCTTAAGTGCCTTTTGAATCTTTCCTCTGTCGTGTTAAACCTATGCCCTCTAGTTTTGGACTCCTCTCCCCCGCCCCCCCCCCCCCCCCCCCCGCCTCCCTCCCGGGAATAAACCTTGACTATTCACCCTATCCATGGCTATCATGATTTTATAATTTATAAGTATCAACATCATTGATTTTCATGTCATTTACAAACTTACTAATTCACAATCAAGACATTGATGTGCATATCAAACAGCAAGGGTCCCAGCACTGATCCCTGCAGTGCACTCGTGATCACAAGCTTGCAATTAACCAAAAACCTTCTGGCATTACCTTTTGCCTCCTATTTGTCAGCCAGTTTTGGACCCGGTTTGCCAAGTTGCCTTGCATCCCATGCAATGTTACCTTTTGGAGAAGACATCCATGTGGGACTTTGTCAAAGGCCTTACTGAAGTCCATATAAAACAACATCAACTGCACTGTCCTCATCAATATATTTAGGCACCTTTTCAAAAAAATTCAATTTAATTAGACAGGATCTTTTGTATGCTTATTAATTGCACTCTCAACTTGTCCTGCCACTTTGTGATCTGTGTACACACATACCCATGTCCTTCTGTTCCTGCACTTCCTTTAGAATTGTATCCCCTATTTATGTTGTTTTTCAATGTTCTTTGTAACGAACTTTGTGCTTCTGCATTTAACCTCATGTGCCACGTATCTGCCTGCCACAGAATAGGCTCGGGTTCGTGTGATAAACGCCTTTATTACTAATTCCCTATTGTTTAGAACTTGATGGACTTCCAACTTTAACTAGAATCCCTACAGTGTGGAAACAGGCCATTCAGCCCATCAAGTCCACACTGACCCTCCAAAGAGCATCCCATCCAGACTTTTTTTCCCCCCCCACCCCTCGCCCTTTCCCTATAACCCTGCATTTCTCGTGGCTAATCAACCCAGCTTGCGCATCCCTGGACACTAGAACCGAACATATTTTTAGCAGCTTGTTCGGCCACTTTACATGCATTGTAAGTGTCAGCAGTGTTCATGTGACAGTGGATCCGTGTATAGACCTGGACATATGAAAGGATTGTCAAATTTCCTTGCTAAGAGGGCATGAATAAACCGGTTAGTTCACCGTAATCGCTTGCTCTCCCTAATGGACATTTACACTGGAACATAAACCCGGTAATTAGTAAAAATTAAATCTCAAGTCATAACGCAATCAATCGCTTGTCTTCTCCAGGCCACAGTGTGCGTGCTGTGGTGCAGTAGGAACTCGTATAAACCATTTGTTTCACATTCAAATATTTTAGTTACGGAGTTAGATCATGCCCATGCACGATTTTGAGTCTCCGGAAGTATGTAACGGGTATTGCTACATTTGAACAACTTGCTTGCTCCCGTTGAATGGGTAGGGCTGCTTTGTCGCAGTGCAGACTTCTGTTTTCCGAAGCTGCCATTGCAGATTCTGTTTTTCCGTAGGAACAGACCACACCCGAATTTCTTTTTTAAAAGACAAACGCGCCAACACAACGGGTTGAAGGGAAACACGCCATCGCAAAACACGTCTGCGACGTTGAGGGAGACGGGGCATTTATTGCGATATCTGACCATTTGCCCGTTGTATTTGCATGAAACTACCTCCCCTTTAACGACCTTTCATTAACCGCTCGGTTTTGCTGAGACAAGCGATGATTTTTATCAGCAGGTGATTGCGAGCGGTACGTATCGATTTGAGACGTTTCTTTTGAAAATGATTCTTCCTCCCCCCGGAACAATGTCCAGTAAATGGTTACATTGTAACACTGCCACTTCGATCTACGTAACTGTATTAAGTGCGTGTTTTGTTTTGTATTCAGCCGATGTGGCAAAGGCAGGGTTAAACGGTCTTGTTTTGGAATCGAATTCCCGATATTGAAATGACCTGTGCATTGTTCTGGCAATTGAGACGTTTTCAGAAAGAATACAGTATACCTAGATTTTCTTTTAAGATCGCATAGTTGGATCACTTTTTAGAAACTCGTCTGTTGCCCTTTTCATTTGTGATTGCTGTTTGCTGAAGATATTTTAATCTTGCAATCTGTGTTCATTGGAAATATGATTTGGTGTCTTTACTGAAAGGGAGCAACTGATCTGCTGGACTGTGCGTTAAGCCATACAGCCAGAAGATTGCAGGTGCTTCAGTAAAGGGCTGTAGATAATGCCAGCAAATGATCCTATGATTTCAACTCTGTATGTTCATTTGGAATAATTTTTAAGGATTCCAACTGCTGAGGTATAGTGCATAATTGATTTATGTTCGAACATAAATCCAGTGATTGCAATAAATGAATGTCTTGAGGCTCCAGTCTCTTGCCTTGTCTAGTCTGGATTGTGGTGTGGTTAGTTCCATGCTTGAGAGTAGAAACATAGCTGAGGTTATGGTGTTTAGGTGAAACTGATCTTGAATTTTAAAAACATTGACGAATTGAAAGGAAAAGTGGGTTCTGGCAAAGGGATTCTCAGCTATGATAGATAAATGGACACGGTAGAAAGCTTGTTTTGTGAGGCCCTCTCGTGGCACAATGGTGGTAGCATCCCTACACTTGGACCAGGTTCAAGTCCCACCTGCTCCAGAGGGATGTAATAACATCTCTGAATATGTTGACTAAATTTTTTAAAAAAGCTTGTTTTCACCATTGTGCAGGTGCAGGGAAGAGAGTGAGCTTGTGATTTCAAGAGAAGTGCTATATATTTTACCAAGCAACTTTCACAACAAGACATCCTAAAGTGATTCATGGCCAATGACCTATTACTGAAATGTTGTCTGTTGTGATGTAGAAATAATCTGGAAACTCATATATGGGGCCCATTCACAAGGGGAGAATTTCTCAAACTAGGAAAATTGTTAACTTAAAAATCTTCTGTACCGCCTTGTGACTATGGGAGTTACTTTTGGTTTTGTCATAGAGTTAGTGCCATATTGAATCCTCCAGGAGCGAATGGTTCCTGTGGTGACAGGGAAATGAGACTGATTTTGACATGGAGATGCATGGATTGGAGTTGAATTGTTCAGGTGCAAGGGTAGCTTTGAGCTGAGTACTTCACCAATATTTGTGTATAATTTCTCTCGAGAGATAAAGTGGATAGGCTAAGACCATAACAATTAGAAACAGAATAGGCCATTCGGCCCATCAGGCTACATTGTCATTCAGTGAGATCATGGCTGATCTGGTAATCCTCTGGTAAAGTTTGAGGGAGTATTTTTGATGGGCTGATTGACCTTTTTTCTTCTCATTGCTTTACTAGTTAGATGTCAAATACTCACTATCCTCCCCATGCCATACACAATGATAGCTTATTCAGTTATACTGTCGCCTCGCTCACATTTTCTATTATTTCTTGGTTTAAATTGAATCTGTGCAATCTATTGCTATCACCCATGCCCTTGCTGACCTCCATTGGCTGTCTTCTCCACCCCCTCCCCCATTAATTGGTTCAAGCTATTAGTTTATACATAATTATTCTTTCTCAGTCTCACACTTGTAATCATGTTTCAAGCATCTGTGGAGTTTTGCTTTTCTATCTCCAGCGTGCTCCTGGATTTGCTTATCCTTCTGAATTTCTGTCAGTGCATTCTAGAATTTTCTTCCTTAACTTCTTTTTTCGTTGTAACACCTGCCTTCCCCACCTTCTTAAAAATATCCTCAACCTGTCTACTCAACCGCTCCTTTGACCACCTTTTAAACTACTTTTAAACTGTTTGACTTTGGTTTTCTCCTATCTCATTTCCCCAACGTGGGCCTTGGTGAATTTTGCTACGTTAAATGTGGCAAAACTATCATATTTTGCCTCATGCGGGGTAGTGCTTATTCATTTGTTGCAATTAACAGAGCAAAGTGGGGATTGACTGTGGATTCACTAGAGACGCTAAGATAGACTAAAGCTCTGTGTCAGCTTAGAAGGTGTTCTGTATACAGTCTGAATGTGTAAAAGATTAGCTTGAGTTCTACCTTTCAGCTGGTTTCCTGGGATTTAACGGGCTATCCTATGTTCAGAAGTGCTAGTACTATGAGGAGCAAGTTCTATCGAGGTAACTTTTTTTTAAACTGACTGAATACTTGAGCCTTCCTAAATGCAAGGGTGTCAAACTTAGTTTTGATCAAAATTTGTATTTATTGTAATTTCTTTACTTTGTTTCAGGTCTTTTTATTCAACATGGGAAGGGAAGATTAACCAAGCTTCTATCATGATTGGAGGCTTGTTCATTTACAACCATAAGGGAGAAGTCCTGATCTCCCGAGTCTACAGGGATGACATTGGGTAAGTACCTTTTGCAGGTTAATACTGAAAAAGCTTCTCGTTATGATAGCATTTTTACATTTGAGACATCTATTTGTTACATTGTGAAGGAGCTGCCTCATAGTCACCTTTAACTGATTTTATTTTTGTGCTATCCTGGAGGCAGCAGCTCTGTAGGTACCATATACAAGTACCCATAGGCCACTTGGTGGATGACTTATTGGGGTTCTCTTTTATTCTTTTATGGGATATTGGCATCAGTGAGAAGGCCAGTAACTTGCCCATCCCTGACTGTCCCCTCTGTTATTTTGCTGGACAGTTTTAGAAGGCAGTTAAACAGCTGTCACATTGCTATGGGTCTGGAGAACATGTAGGCCAGACCAGGTAAAGACCTCAGCTTTCTTTCATAGAAACAGAAAATAGGAGCACGTGTACGCCATTCAGCCATTCAGCCATTCAAGCCTGCTTCATCATTCAGTGTGATCATCTGACTCAGTACGCGGTTCCTGCTTTCTCCCCATACCCATTGGTTCTTTTAGCCCTAAGAACTACATCTAACCCTCTTGGGGAGGAAGAAAAGTCTGTTTTGGCTCCAACCCTTTTCTGTGACAGAGTACTTTACAGGTTCACCATTCTCTGCTTGAAGAAATTTCTCCAAGTCCGAAATGGCATATCCCGTATCCTTACACTGTGACCTGTGATACTGGATTCCTTGGTAATCAGGAATGTCGTTCCTGTGTTTACCCCTGTTTAGTCCTTTTTAATCCCCCTTGTTCTCTTAAACTCCAATCAAAATAGTCCTAGAGTAGTGCCATCTCAAGGAATCAGTCTGATAAGCCTTTGTTGCACTCCGTCTGTTACCAGATGCCCATCCTCGGATAAGGAGAAGGCTAACATACCTAATGCTGTCTTCACCACTTGTTGCACTGTCTGCTTACTTTGAAGAATTGGTGTACAAGGACACTCAGGTGTTGTTGCATCTCCTGCTTTCTCAATCTATTGCCTTTCAGATAATCTGCCTTACTGTTTTTGCTCCCAATGTGGATGACTCACATTTATCACGTTATACTTCATCCGCTGTGCATTCGCCCACTCACTCCACTTGTGCACGTCACATTGAAGCATCTTAGCATCCTCCTCACTGTTCACCCTCCCACCCAGTTTTGTGTTACCTGCAAACTTAGTCATTGTCAATAGAGATGTACAGCATCCTTCAGTCCAACTCATCCATGCTGACCAGATATCCTAAATTAATCTAGACACATCTGCCAGCTTTTGGCCCATATTCTTCTAAGCCTTTCTTATTCATATACCCATCCAGGTGCATTTTTCAATGTTGAAATTCTACCTCCCTCCTCCTCCACCTCTGGCAGCTCATTCCATTCATGCACCACCCTCTGCATGAAAAAGTTGCCCCTTAGGTCACTTTAAATCTTTCCCCCCCACTCACCTGAGACCTATGCCCTCTAGTTTTGGACTCTAGCCTGGGGAAAAGACCTTGGCTATTCATCCTGTCCATGCCCCTCATGATTTTATAAACTTCCATAAGGTTACCCCTCAGCCACTAATGTTCCAGGGAAAATATCCTCAGCCTATTCAGCCTGTCCCTATAGTTCAAACTCTAACTCTGGTGACACCCTTGTAAATCTTTTCTGAACCCTTTCAAGTTTGACAACAACATCTTTTTTTTATAGCAGGGAGATCAGAATTGAACACAGTATTCCAAGAGTGGTCTAATCAATGTCCTGTTCAGCTGCAGCATGACCTCTCAACTCCTATACTCGATGCACTGACCAAGAAAGGCAAGTGTACCAGAAGCAGCCTACATCACCCTGTTTACCTATGACTCCACTTTCAAGAAACTATGAACCTGCACCCCAAGGTCCCTTTGCTCGGCAACACTTTCTCCAGGATGTTACCATTCAGTATATAAGTGCTCCCCTGATTTGCCCTTCCAAAATGCAGCATCTCGCATTTATCTAAATTAAACTGCACCTGCCACTCCTCAACCCGTTTGCCCATCTGATCAAGGTCCCGTTGTTCTCGGAGGTTACCTTCTTCATTGTCCACTACACCGCCAGTTTTGGTGATATCTGCAAACTTACTAACCATGCCCCCTATATTTGCATCCAGATCATTTTATATAAATGACAAAAAGCAGTGGACCCAGCACTGATCCTTGTGGCACACTGCTTGTCACAGGCCTCCAGTTTGAAAAGCAACCCTCCCACCACCACCCACTGTCTCTTACCTTTGAGCTAGCTCTCCCTGTATTCCATGTGATCTAACCTTGCTAACCATATAGACAACGTCCACCACTCTGCAGCCTTCAGTCATCTTTGTCACTTCTTCTTCAAAAACCTCAATCAGTTTCATGAGACACGGTGTCGACTATCCCTCATCGGTCCTTGCCTTTCCAAATCTGTGTAAATCCTGTCTCTCAGAATCTCCTCCAACAACTTACCACTGACATCAGGCTCATCGATCTGTAGTTCTCTAGCTTTTCCTTACCACGTTTTGTAAATTATGGTACCACATTAGTCAACTGCCAGTATTCCGGGACCTTGCTGTGGCTATCGATGATACAGATACCTTAGCAAGGGGCCCAGCAATCACTTCCCTAGCTTCCCACCAAGTTCTGTGGTACACCTGATCCAGTCCCAGGGATGTATCCACCTTTATGCTTTTTAAGATGCCCAGCACCATTACCACTTGTAATATGGTCATTTTTCAAGCAATCAATATTTATTTCTCAAAGTCCTCTAGCATCCATGTCCCTCTCCACAGTAAACACTGATGCAAAATACTGACTTAGTATCTCACCCATGTCCTGCGGTTCCACACATAGGTGGCCTTGCTGATCTTTTAAAGGACCCTATTCTTTCCCTAGTTATTCTTATGTCCTCAATGTAGTTGTAGAATCTCTTTGGTTTCTCCTTAACCTTACTTGCCAAAGCTATCTCGTGTCTCCTTTTTTCCCCTCCTGATTTCCCTAAAGTATATTTCTACTGCCCTTACACTCTTCTAGAGATTCACACAATCACTGCTGTCTAAACCTGACATATGGTTCCTTTTTATTCTTGACCAGAGCATCAATTTCTCTCGTCATCCAGCATTCCCTACACCTACCAGTCTTATCCTTCACACCAACAGCAACATACTGTCTCTGGAGTCAATAGATGTGAAGCTGGAAAAGCTCAGCAGGTCAGACAGCATCTGACAAAGGACTTTGACCTGAAATGTTGACTTTCCTGCCCCTCAGATGCTGTTTGACCTGCTATGCTTTCCCAGCTTCACATCTGTTGACTCTGGCTTCCAGTATCTGCAGTCCTTACTGTCTCCAAATACTGTCTCTGTCGCCTTGTTATCTCATTTTTGAAGACTTGAGGTAGCTATTACGAGGGGGCATAGTTTTAAAGTGAGTGGAGGTAGATATAGGGTAAACGTCAGAGGTACGTTCTTTACTCAGAGTGGTCGGAGCGTGGAATGCATTGCTGGAGAGGGTAGTGGAGTCGGCCTCATTAGGGGCATTTAAGTGGCTATTAGATAGGCATATGGATGATAGTATAAGGTAGGGGTTAGGTAAGGTAGACCTTAGGTTTACGGTAAAAGTTCAGCACAACATTGTGGGTCGGAGGGCCTGTACTGTGCTGTACTGTTCTATGTTCCCACTTTTCAGCTGTACCTTTTACCAGCGAATGTCCGCTCTCTATCAATGTTTGAAAGTTCTTGCCTAATTCCATCAAAATTGGCCTTCCTCCAATTGAGAATTTTAACTTTAAGATCAGGTCTATCCTTTTCAATAACTACTTTAAAACTGATAGAGTTATGATCACTAGCCCCGAGGTGCACCCCCACTGACACCTGTCACCTGCCCTGCCTTATTTCCCAAGAGAAAGTCAAATTTTGCTCCTCCTCTAGTACGTACATCCATATACTGTATAAAAAAATTTCTTGTACACCCTGAACAAATTTCTCTCCATCCAAGCCCTCAACACTATGGCAGACCCAATCTATGTTTGGGAAGTTAAAATCTCCAACCATTAGAACCCTATTATTCTTTCAGATAACTGAGATCTCATTACAAATTCATCTCAATTTTCTGCTGCCTATTGGAGGGGGTGTGGTGTGGTGTGGTATAGTACAGTCCCAATTATGTGATCATTCCTTTCTTATTTCTCAGTTCCGCCCAAATAACTTCACCATATGAACTCCCTGGAATATCCTCCCTAAGTACAGCCATAATGTTATCCCTAACAAAAAGCGCTGCCGTCACCCTTCCCACCTCCATTTCTATCCTTCTTATAGCATCTATTCTCTGGAACATTAAGCTGCCAGTCCTGTCCATCCCTGAGTGACATTTTTCTAATAGCTATAATTCCCCAGTCCCATGTTCCCAACCATGCCCTGAGATTGTCTGCCTTGCCTGTCAGTTCTCTTACACTGAAATAAATGCAGTTTAATTTATCAGTCCTACCTCATCCTCTACCTTGCTACTACCTGCCTTGAATGTTTGACTCGCACCAGCCTCGGACTGATCTCTTTTCTCACGATCTCTCTGGGTCCCCCCACTTTCTCCCCTTACTAGTTGAAATCTTCCCAAGTAGCACTAGCAAATTTCCCCACTAGTATATTAGTCCCTTTCCAATTCAGCTGCAACCCATCCTTCTTCTTCAGGTCATTTCTGCCCCAGAAGAGAATCCAATGATCCAAAAATGTATATTGTTCTCCCCTGCACCAGCTCCTCAGCCACACATTCATTTGCTCTATCCTCCTATTCCTACTCTCACTAGCACGTGGCACCGTGAGTTATTACTGCCGTCGAGGACCTACTTTTTAAACCTGTCTAAATTCCTATACGCTCTTCTCATAACCTCGTCCTTCTCTCTACTTGGAGATATTGCATTTAGTTACCTTATCCAAATCATTAATGTATTTTGTAAATAGCTTGGATCCAAACATTGGTCCCTGTGATATTCCACTAGTCACAGCCTATCTTATGAAAATAATTCTTTATCCAC